GGCCCCCCTCCCCCCCCCCCCCCCCCCCCATGACTGTCCCCTGTGTACAAAGCCAGCTCCATAAAGACACGGTGTGACCAGCTCATCGTGGAGGAACCCCCGGTGTTCTCCACAGAGCGCTGACCTCAACCCTACGGCACACCGTGGGATGAATTGGAATATCGGTACTTGTTGTGTTTTTGGCTGACGCGACGCGTTCCCACAGACACAGTCCAAACTCTGGTGGAAAACCTTCCCAGAAGACTGGAGGCTGTTTTTTGAGTTGCAGATCAGGGGCGGGGGAGCCAGTGGGCAGCACTGTGGCGTAGTGGTTAGCGCTTCTGCTTTGCAGCACTGGGGATCCCTGGTTCAAATCCCGGCCAGGTCACTACCTGCAAAGAAGTTTGCGTGGGTTTCCTCCCACACTCCAAAGACATGCTGGTAGGTTAATAGGCTCATGTCTCAATTGGCCCTTGTATGTATGATAGGGACCTTAGATTGTAAGCTCCTGGGGGTAGGGACTGATGTGAATGTGCACTGTGTAAAGTGCTGCGGAAATTGTCGGCGCTCTATAATAAATGGTATTGGAATGGGATGTCCAACAAGCTCATATAGGTGACCATAAACCTTAGGACATAGTGTGGGCCAGGGGGGTCCGGTCCTGTAGTGTGGGCCAGGGGGGTCCGGTCCTGTAGTGTGGGCCAGGGGGGTTCTGGTCTGTGTGGTTTGTGTTCAGGACTCATGGCAGTCATAGAGTATTTGGTCTGTGAGGAGGAGAACCATGCGTTTTTGTGGTTCACATTACCTAAAATAGGAATGGGCACACAGCGGGAAAAATCTGGAGCAGTTGCCCATGGCAACCAATCAGCTTCTCTCTTCAGTTTGTTCAGTTAAAATTTGAAAATGAAAGATCGAAGCCGATTGGTTGCCATGGGCAACTTTGATAAATCCCCCTATGTGTGGGTTTTTAAAAATTGCAGATTGAGCTACTGAGTACTGTAAACTCCTTTTTAGTATGTCCATATGTTTGTATGTGCTATCCTCTCTAACTGGAGTTCTATGTGGTGTGAACGTGATGCAAATGTTTTCCTTTGATGGACAAAGTGCATGTTTGCTGAGGGCTGCTCTGCTGTTGTGCCACACCAGGGACACGGACACACGCACCACCTTTTGATAAGAACGGATTATTGTGGGGGGGGAGGCAACCTGGACTATCCAGCTGTCTTGGTACTGCAAGTCCCATGAGGCCTTGCAAGACCTGACAGTCACAGACATGACTCGCAGAGGCGTGATGGGATTTGTCGTTTCAACACAGCTGGCGTACCGAGGGCCTACCCAAGGATTGTATGCGCCTTCCCCTTTAGTGGCAACTTGTGTAACCTACTCCCCTCTGCAGTGCCTGCTATGTACCAGACACACGACCTGTGGGGGGGAGGGGGGGCTGCCAGTTGCTGAGGAAGCCAGAAAGTCATCAGCCAACTGATTTTGATTAGTTGTCACCCTGTAAATTGCTTGACATCAGGTGACACCTCCTGTTCAGTCGGAGCGGAGGGTCCCATAGGAAAACACTACTGCTGTGCTGTCCTTTAAAATCTTAGATTGCTCTTTAAAGCTGGCGTCATTGGTGCGCCGCGTATGAAACATTCGTGGAATACATTACAGAGACTCGCGTGACTGCTTCATCCTAAACCACCATAGTCCATGCATGTGACGCTCTGTCTCCTCGTGTTTTTGCAGCTCTCTGTCTTATATTAAGATTTTTAACGTGGGAAACCGATACCTGGTGAATCGAGTGCAGGACCACGTGCAGAGCCGGGCGGTGTACTACCTGATGAACATCCACGTGACGCCGCGCTCCATCTACCTGTCCCGCCACGGGGAGAGTGAACTCAATCTTGTGGGTAGGATCGGCGGGGACACTGGACTGTCGGCACGGGGGAAACAGGTAACGTCATACAGCAATGTCGCCCTTATCCCAGACGCATGAACCCCGTGCTGTGCCAATGCGGGGCAAAACGGGATGGCTCTAATATCCCCAACACCTACATGGTTACACAGTATTTCAGGTCGCATAAAGACGCATGCCCACGTTTTTTTTTGCTCTGCATAGCTGTCTGGAATGAGGTAAGGATGCCCAAGGTCTTCCTGTCTCCATTGGAGGGCACCTGGCCAATGATCAGCACGGTCAGGGGAGGGGGCGGTCACATGTTTGTTCATATATGAAAGTAACGGGTACATTTCTCACTCAGAACCGCAGCAAAGAGCATGTGCAGCGGGGGAAGGGGCATCATTGCGAACCTGTTACCTCCCTTTCTACCCCAGTACTGGAAGCGTGAAGTATTCTACGTTGTTGCCGGTGGCTGCAATAAAGATCCCCTGCACTCCCTTCCTTCCTGCACTGGTGCTACTCAACAACCCCCCCCTCATCCCAATGGTGGCGAGTGGCAGGGTTTTTAGCTCTGCGTGTCTGTGACCCTTCACAATGAGCACCGGCCTGTTTTTAGCATGCGGACTGGAGTGAACGAGCCCTTAAAGTGATTAAAGCTGAGCTGTAGGAGCGCCCATTGCTTTTTATTCTCCTTCACTGGCTGATGAGGTTGCCAATCGTAAAGCATGCAGCTCCATCAGGTCCTTCTAGTGATTGACAGCAGCAGAGGGCCGGTGCAAAAGCTTGTTTGCTATTGGATATTGCAAAGTGAAATAGCCAATGGGAATGTAGCTATGCATTCCTATGCTGTTTTTTTTTCTGACTGACGGCCGGCGGCTCCGATGGCAGAAAAAAAAAAAAAACCAGAGCAGGGAAAGGTTTACGATGTTCGAACGAGCAGACTAAACCTTTGCGGGAGAAAGCCGCCATCTAATAGCTATCCAACGGTAGCAAATTTACAGCGATGACGGGGTAACAAAAATAATTTTCCTGTTAGGGGGTCGCCACAACTTGGGCATTGTTATGAAAGGGTCGCGGCGCTAGAAAGGTTGAGAACCGCTGCTGTACTGGATTCCGATCTGCGGTACACGCCTAAAATAAACACTTTTATACTGAAACCTTTTCCTTTTGTAGAGTTTGCACAGCAATGTTTGTTTGCTCTCTGGCTCTCCAACCTCCCCGCCCCCCCTGCCCATTGCAGATGTCTGTGGCCTTGTTGCAAAAGTTACATTAGCAGAACAGAGCGCCACGGAATTCCGGGAACAAGTTCTGCTAGTAACTGATGAAATGTAACCCCGAGAATGTCACAATCGTGTGATTTGGAAGTCTGGAGAGGGGCGGCTGTGCCGAGTGTGTATTGGAACATTAGACTTTTTAGTTGGGAGTGTTGGCCATCGGTATGGATGGTGGTCGGTCTGGTGGAGGAAGTCCTCGGAGCAGATATGGAGGGTGACAGTAATGGGAATGCAGTAGTGTTGATGGTCACGTGTGATTCGGGATTTGCAGGCTGTGGGCCGGGTTGCCACCTGAAGAAGAACAATGGGCACAATTTGCAAATATTTTAGATTGGACTTGGGTGGTTTTCCAGCATGTTGGA